TTGTTTGGCAATTGTATGAGACAGGACGCTGGACTAGAGGGACCCTCACTGGTCTGATCCAGGAGGGCTCTCCTTATGTCCTTACTTTGTGTTGTCTAGACTGAAAAGGGAGAACTGTCGGTCCTTACTGAATGTGTAGCGTGTAGAGTGCTCCCTTGAGAGTAGAAAAGACAGCCCCTGCCTTAATGCTCATCAACTAAGTATCAGCAGAAGGGAAGAGAATGGGATGTGAGACTGTACAAAGGCGAGCTGTAGCAAACTGTGACCTCTGATTCTGTAACCACACACACACACACACCCCAAGATATCAGGGACAGAAAAATCAGAGGGCAGAAGCGACAAGCAAATCAGCTCACAGAAGTGCAGAACGGATGGGCTTGTATGTTGCCACCTCCACTCCCTGCTTTTCTTTCCTGTGGATTGATCCAGAGGCCACAATGCTCTAGGTCGTGGGCCTGGCCCTTCCTCTTTCTTTACCTGAGGAATCGCTCTCCCGTGACGGAGCGTGTGACTGTCCAGCTAACAAGGGGCTCTGCTTCACCACATGTAGAGCAGTGTAACCGGTCAACACCAGCTGCACAGCGTCTGGTCTGGTTTGAGAAAAAAGGACAGGAAGTATCGTGATCTTATCTTACAGGAAACCATACCTTGTTGTCAGCAAATTACAAAGGAATTTAAGAGCAGTGTTTGTCTGGATAGCGTCTAGCCTCAATCTGTTTGGCGCTAGCGTGGATTCCGCCGTGCTCTTTGTGGCCCAGAGGCTGGTCTCTCTCCCTGGGCTGTGCTGTCTGTCCCAACGGAAGAACCTCTGTCAGTTTTAGCCCTTCTAAAGCACTCTTGCCCGGGAGAAAAAGGGAAACGGATTCCTCGAACAGCCTTTTGCTGTGATGATAAAGATAGTGCACAGGGAAGTTCAGCAGCCTGTACTGACTGTTGCTTTCTGCCCACTCTTGTCTCCTGTGCAGGGCAGCCTAGAGCAGCAGAAGTCCTTTAATGAAGCCGCTTCTCAAGTGCAAGAGGCGTTCCACGCCAGCATCTCCATGGCATTCAACATCCTCGGTAACAGTTCACCAGGTGTAACCACCTCCTGCGGTGGTTAGAGGCTTTTTTTGGGGGGGGGGTTGTACCGTCTCAAGAGCCGTGTCAAGAGGCCAGTAGGTTGGGCTCTCTGGGCAAGCCTCGAGAGTCCCAAAAACTGGGGTCATGATTGGCAGGGTGCCAGCCCAGCCTAAGGGAGGCGGGGCTGCTCTCCCAGGCACAGGCCCTGTAGATGCTTCTTCCTTCTCCTTGTGCCATTCATTCCCGTCTCCTTCGGAGCGTACCTGCACACTGCTACAAACTCCTTTCCCTTCCCCTCCCCACAACAGACACCCTGTGAGGTGGGCGGGGCTGAGAGAGCTCTGACAGAAACTGCTCTTTTTCAAGGACAGCTCTTATCTGAACTACGTCTTGCCCAAGGTCATCCAGCCAGGTGCAAGTGGAGGAGTGGGGAATCAAACCCAGTTCTCGCAGATTAGAATCCGCGCACTTAACCACGACACTAAACGGGCTGCAACTAGTTGGAAGCAGAGCTGGTACTATTTGAGCGTTCTTCCTCAGGTGCCCAAATAGTACAGGCTGGAAAGAGAGAATCCCCAGACTGTAATTCTGTCTTAATTATGTTCTGGGGTCAAACATGAATGCCTAAACGGGGTCTTGAGGTGACTGCTCCCCTGAATCCTACCAGGAAATCTGTGGGACAAAGATAGGGGATCAAGAAGATAACTGAGAAAATAGAAGAAGAAGAAGAGATTGGATTTACACCCCGCCTTTCACTACCCAAGGGAGTCTCACACCGGCTTACAAACTCCTTTCCCTTTCCCTCCCCACAACAGACACCCTGTGAGGTAGGTGGGGCTGAGAGAGCTCTTGACAGAAACTGCTCTTTTTTCAAGAACAGCTCTTATCAGAATTACGGCTTGCCCAAGGTCATCAAGCCAGGTGCAAGTGGAGGAGTGGGGAATCAAACCCGGTCCTCCCAGATTAGAGTCCTCTGCGCACTTAACCACTACACCAAATTGGAGTCAAAAGCATGTCCAAACCTCTTCCGTTTCAAGGGTTTCCTTCTCAGTATAACCTAGTGGCGATTTTATAGAAGTCAAGTAGCCGGTCCCACTTGGTTGGAATTTGGAACCAATCAGCAAGGGCATCGCATGGGAAACTGGCCTTCACAGTTCAGATCAAATAACCACCTCCCCCCCCTGCCACGGTTGGGTGTGTGGGGGGGGTCTGAATGCAGAGGTCTCCGGCTGCGTCAGCGTTGCCTGAAGCCTTTCTCCGGTGTGCCGCTTCCACAGGGCTCGAGCATCTGCAGAAGAGGCAGTACGCGGCGGCCTTTCACCTCTTCAAGCTGGCGGCAGATCAGAACTACAGCAAAGCCCAGTACAACGTGGGGCTGTGCTATGAACACGGGAGGGGCACCGAGAAGGATGCGGCAAAGGTGCTCTGGCCCTCTTCCTGTGACTTGATTTGTGTGTTTTCTCTTGGGAAGGAGAGCCTTCGGCACCCAGAGAGCATATGGAGGTGTGTCGGCATGTGGAACTCCCCGACCACCATTCCCCCGAAACGCACCTGACTTTCCCAGCAGGGGCACAAAAGGGCACAAAACAGAAATGTGGGGTCTGCTGGGTTAGTTAAGTAGCCTTTATTGGCCAAAAAAACAGCAAATAACAACTGTGTACTGCACAAACCCGCACCAAAGTTAACAAAAAGAGACTTCAACACAAAGGTAATTCAACACATGTAATCCATCATAGGAAAATACAAAAGTCCACAATATCCCAAAGGGAAAGAACAAAGTCCAGAATAGAAATTTCATAAAGGGAAACAATGAAGTCTGGAATAGATATCAACACTTTTCCTAGGTATTGTTCAGTGTTTCGGACTTCTGGTCCTTCCTCAGGAACAAAAGCCACTACAGGAAGTCTGCATTGCAATTTCTTAACAGGCAAACTTTATTCAGTTTCTATATGGGCCAGGTCTAAGCTTTAGAAAGCACCTACCAAGGTTGCTATTGTGTAAGTTGGACCAAACATGCCTTGGAGCTTAGGAGAGCTTTTTGTTAACTTTGGTGCGGGTTTGTGCAGTACACAGTTGTTATTTGCTGTTTTTTTGGCCATTATTTACTGTGGACTGTATTATTGTTGTTGTAAGTAGCCTTTATTGGCATGGAAATTTTTTTACAAGTTAATACAGTTTAAAAGGTAAGTTAAAACTGCAACAGACATATACGTCAGTGTAAATATAAGATTATTTCTGTGAGATCCCTTGGCGTACCTTTATAGCAGAGTAAAGAAACTTAGCCACCTTCTCAGTGACATTAAATGAGAAATCATTCAAAAGTCTATAAACCTTAGATGCATCAGACCAGTCCCTCATCCTAACTAGAACAGAATGTAGATGCATATAACATAGATCTGTATACAGGTGACAATAGAGAAGAACACGAGTGATTGACTCAACACATTTTTGATTACAAGGGCAATATCTGGCTAAGTAGGCTATCTTCTTGAATCTGTCATAAAAAACTGCAGAAGGCATGGCATTACATCTGGCAAGGGAAAATGCTCTGCCCTGCTGGGGCACCTGCAAAGAAGATAGATATGGGGCCATTTTCCCAGTAATGAGGGGAATCTCAAAATTCAGCAGGGAACAGGTTTTGTTGGCCAGGCAGAATAACTTGTGGTGTTCAATGTCTAAGGGTCTGGTAACTTTGACGGGGTCCCAGTGTCTCTTTCTCCATGACGGCTGGGACCCCCCACTCACACTTGTGTTCTTCTGTAGAGGGGCCTCCCTGAAGTCAAATTCCTCACAATGGGAGAGAGAGGGAAGGAGGGAGCAAGTCCTTGCCGCCAGGATGCACCCCTTCCAAATGCTCGAGAACTGCAGAGCCACTGGCTTTCACAATAAACGAGGAGGCCTTTGCCTCCAGGCAGTGTCTGCAGGTTGGCCAGCCTGCCCAAGGATCCCCAGGTTGCCTTCCTCCTCCTTGGGCACCTTTACTGCAAAGATGCGGCGCAGTTAGTAGGGGAAGTTGTCTCTTGCAAGCTGTACACTTCAGAGTGAGGTGGGACTTGGGGGTAGCCCGCGGGACCCCTTTAAAGTACTAGCACAGTTCTTCTGCGGTTCCTCGTAGCTCTTTCTCGAAGGGGACTAGGGCCAATATGCCTGGCAGATTCTGTCTGAGTCCTTGGCGGGGTCGGAGCAGGGACGTAGGAGCAGCTGCAGGTGAACTCCTTTGGCGAGGGGTGAGGCTGCGGGCCCTGCTCGCCCCTCGTCCACCCCCGTCACTGATGCCCTTCTCTCTCCCCAGGCAGTCCTCTACTACCAGAGGGCGGCTCGCCAGGGCCACCCAATGGCCCAGTATCGCTATGCCAAATGGCTCCTGCGGAGTTGGCCCAAAGTGGAGGAAGACAGCAGCGTACAGGAGGCGGTGGATTTGCTGGGCCAGGCGGCCACTGCGGGGCTGACCCAGGTAAGCACCCAGAATGTTCGAAAGGAGAGGTGCTGCCAGCAGTGTTTCCTCTAAGCTGAGTTAGTGTGAGCTAGCTCACAGTTCTTTAGCCTCTGGCTCACACATTTTTGTCTTTGCTCAGGAAGGATGGCTCCAGAGCAAACTAATTTATGCAGTAGCCAAATCGCTCACTCACAACTTTAATGCCAGTAGCTCACAAAGTAGAATTTTTGCTCACAAGTCTCCACAGCTTAGAGGGAGCATTGGCTGCCAGTCCTTGGGAGTGAACCGGAAAGTGCACCTTCCAGTTGAGTTCTCTGGGTTAGATGCCCAGATAAGCTGCCCACCTGGCTCTGCCCAACCGTGGCATTCTTGCACAGGCCAGGGAGCGGAGTGAGATCCGTGGCCTGCCGTGCCTCCGTTTTCCCCAGGCTTTTTCTCCACTGCCCCTAAAGCGAACACGATCCATGATCCTCTCTGCTCCGCTGATCAAGCAATTCATCTGACAAAGGGGGTTCCTCGTTGTGACAATTCCTGTGTTTTTTCTGTGGGATTTCTGTGACAAATTGCATAAACATAATCAGTGTTCCCTCTAAGCGGAGTTGTAGTGAGCTAGCTCACAAATTTTTATCCTCCAGCTCACACATTTTTGTCTCAGCTCAGGCAGGGATGGCTCCAGAGCAAACTAATTAATGCAGGAGCCAAATGGCTTGCTCACAACTTTAATGCCAGTAGCTCACAAAGTAGAATTTTTGCTCACGAGACTCCACAGCTTAGAGGGAACATTGAACATAATATGACCAGGGGATGTAAAACGTGCATTGACAAGAGTATATTCCATACCAGGCTGTTAAGCACCGCCTCTGCCTTGGAGGAGATGGCTTTAATTTGGGCTGTGGTGAGGTCAGAGTTTTGGCTGCTTCCTTTCTCTGTGGTTGTTGAGGGGGGGTGTCTCTCTTTTCAGGACTGTTTCCCAATGAATTAAGATGGTCGCTCCTTATTGTGGCCGTTGTGCCACTTTTCCCAGGTTCCACTGATTTCAGCAGGGAGAAATTGAAAGTGTTCCCTCTAAGCTGAATTAGTGTGAGCTAGCTCACAGCTCTTTAGCCTCTGGCTCACGCATTTTTGTCTCAGCTCAGGAAGTAGGGCTCCAGAGCAAACTAATTTATGCAGTAGCCAAATCGATCGCTCACAACTTTAATGCCAGTAGCTCACAAAGTAGAATTTTTGCTCACAAGACTCCTCAGCTTAGAGGGAGCACTGAAACATGTCCTTGGATCTTCCATTGAAATAATGGGATGGTTCTTAACATTCAGTAGATTGCAGCCCTTGGCCTTTTTTACAAACGTCAATGCTCCAGGGAAGATTAATTTTTTATTTATTTAGTTGTGTCTAACTTTTCTCCCGAATGGGGACCTAAACCAGCTTGTAAACTTTAAACAAATTTGTAAATACAGTACAGAGAAAAAAACCCCAAAGAAATCAAAAAGAATGCCTAGGATAGAGCTCTGTGGGCTGATGTGAAAAACTAAACAAAAGTCAACCCCCGTTTTTTGCGACTGGTATTTTCTTGCTTTGATGCAGGCACAAGTTTATCTGGGTGGGCTGTGCCTGAATGGCTTGAAGACTGGCAGGAAAACGGCATTGAAATACTCACACATGGCAGCCAAGAGTGGGGTAAGGCCTCGTGTAGAATCACCCTCCTTCGTGCCATTCAGCCCCTCCCCGAAGGTCTCCAAGCTGATGCTTGAAATCAGTCTGTGTTTAATGAAACACTGCAAACGCTTTGTCTCGGGCTTTGCCAGAACTATCTGTTCCTGTAGAGTATACAACTCACGTACACACACCTCCCTGGATATTTTTTGGTGTATTTGGCTCGTCTCTCCTGTTACTGAGAACGCGCACTGTTTGCAAAGCGTCTATGCCTCCATGGAAAAGAGGACCAGAACCCCGTGTCTGTTACCAAATTCCGTATCTGTTAGGCTGCAATCAAATACACTTAGTCTTGGGCAGGGCTCTTTTTGTAGAAAAAGCCCAGCAGGAACTCATTAGCATAATAGGCCACACCCAGCAGCAGAAACTCATTAGCCTGTTAGGCCACACCCCTGACAACACAGCTCATTAGCACATTAGGCCGCACCCCCATGTTACCAGAAGTGTGGTCATCCAGCCACACCCACCTTTTGCTTCTTATTCTGTTCACCTTGTTTGTTGTCAAAACCCAGGGCTTTTTTTGTAGCAGGAACTCCTTTGCATGTTAGGCCACACACCCCTAATGTAGCCAATCCTAATGAGTTTCTGCTGTTGGGCGTGGCCTATTATGCTAATGAGTTCCTGCTGGGTATGGCCAACTTGGGAGCCAGCTGGAACTCCGTTCCTGTGTGTTCCTGCCCAAAAATAGCCCTGGTTGGGCATCAGGTTTCATAAGCGGTTTTGTTTTGGCCACGCCCTCCCGCGAGACCAGGATTTAGCCTCGCCCTCTCAGCCCCACCCACTTCTGTTGCCACTCGGGTCACGGGGGAGAAGCGGATGCGGAAGCTGCTGCCCACACCCATAGTGAGCCCCCCCAAAAAAAAATAGGAGTAGCGCTGGCGTGGCAAGGGGGGGTGCTGCTTTAATTCCTGCATGGCTATAAACAGAACAAAAGTAACTGTGATCAATTTATTCATATGTTTTCTGATACTATATTTCTGTTGCCACTCGGGTCACGGGGGAGAAGCGGATGCGGAAGCTGCTGCCCACACCCATAGTGAGCCCCCCCCAAAAAAAATAGGAGTAGCGCTGGCGTGGCAAGGGGGGGTGCTGCTTTAATTATAGGAGTAGCGCTGGCGTGGCAAGGGGGCTTTGACTCCTGCATGGCTATAAACAGAACAAAAGTAACTGTGATCAATTTATTCATATGTTTTCTGATACTATATCAATCTTCCTTGCCTAATTTAATCATGCTTAATACAGCCATAATCATATAAATATCCTAATCATATACAAATAAACACATCACATTTTTCAAATACAAACATCAGACAAGTTCTTCAGATGATAGGGACACCGAATAAATCCTGGAAAGGATCCTCAAAAAAAAGACCCTCACAACTGTAAATTGCGGCTCTGCGTTGTTCCACTGAGGAGACGCTCAGGACTCCACCACTTTTCCAATATGTGTATGTAGTGGTCCACTTCTGTGTTCCAGTTAGCTGTCCCGAGGGACTCCACCATGTAGGTGTACTTAGCAACAGGTGCACAGCACTTCTGTTTACAAAAGGTCCCAACGCTCAGGACTCCACCACTTTTCCAATATGTGTATGTAGTGGTCCACTTCTGTGTTCCAGTTAGCTGTCCCGAGGGACTCCACCATGTAGGTGTACTTAGCAACAGGTGCACAGCACTTCTGTTTACAAAAGGTCCCGGCGACGAACAGTCGACTTGAAACGTTCGTTTCATACACGCACACTGGTTTCTTTACAGTCAGGACATCAAAGCAAGCTTATCTTTTCTGCAATCGATAGCCAATGTCTTTCATTCAAGACTGAAATCTCCAACGTGTTATCTTACTAGTCAGCATCCGCTCCCATTCATTGATGC